TCACTTTGTACATTCTTAATATTACTAATATACTAAGGAGACTAGAGTAGTTGAGTGGCCTGCTCTCTTAAAAATTACACGTATCCTCTTAAAAAGGTAGACAAACTTATGAGGAACCTCGTATTCAATTTTCAAATCTGAGGTGTACAAAGATAATATTTTATACATTTCTAACTCAAAATAATTTTCAATTACTTTTGATTTTTACGTATTTTGTTACTAACCGAACCTCAGACACTCATAAAAAATTATTGTGGATTCAAATTCACCCTTTTTTTTTTAAATTGTCCACTTACAACAACTTGTGAGGTTGGTACCTTTCATTACAATTTCAAGATTTTGACCAAGGAAAATTTTTTTTCGACAAAAAATTTAAGATTTCATATTTCTATAAATAATTTAACAAGAGTTAAAATATTTTGAAAATCGTATGGTGTATAGAAAATCCTAAAATAAATATTCAGTAGAAATGTCATCTATCTACAATAATTTATTTTAGAGGTAAAATAAAAATCAAATTTTTCAATTACCGATTTTTCGTAGAAATCCACCTTGTTTTCTTAATTTTTGTTTTTGTTTTTCAAGACGCTTTTGAAAACTTCTGGGAATTTTTACCTCCCAAATGCACCAAATAGACTCACTTGCTCATCGAAAAAGATACTGAGTTGATACATTATTTTGACTACTTATCATGTAGACAGACAAAAAAAATTTAAAAAATAAAAAAAACACACATCATTGTAAAATCAATACATTCATCGCTCCGCTCAGAATCTAAAATAGTAAATCAGTATTTAATAACAATACTCTTATCTCCATAAAGAAACGCACGAGTAGAATACAGGGTTTTCCCATTTCCATTTTTATCGTATATATATATACTCATAATCGAGTAGGTAGTTGAAATGCCACAAATTCTCCGCGCGTGCAACTTATATTGTAACGGAGAGTGAAAATTGAATATTTTTGTACGGATGACGCACATGGAAAATCAAATCAATCTGAATATAATGTAACAGGCATTGTGACGTTTAAGATAAGTGAAAAAAAGGTATAGTACAATTAATAAATCAGCCCTAATATAATCGGCCATGTCCATACATTTCATACTTCGACGTGTGTTGTATGTACCTAAATGTAATATTTATTTAATTTGAATAATATGTGTTTCACTGTGTCTATAAGCAAGTCCTTATCGTGTCCCCAGCAGTGGTCGTCTTATTGCCAGCTCATTACCTCATTAGCTGTATACTTACTTTTTAATAATGGTATAAATATTACATTTCATTTGATCAGAACATTTTCAGCTGGCCTATATAATTGGTTTTGTGGAAATTATTAGATTAAAAACAAGACGAATGTAACCGACGTTGTTATTAGATTCTTTTTTTGTTGTGTCTGAGATTCTGATTACACTTTTTTAGAGGGTTAAATAAGTTAACAGTGGGTCCAATTAAATCATCCGAGTCATTAAAAGTCAGTGGAAATTTCATCCAGATGGTACTTTGGAGCATAATAAGTTTCAAAATCACCCTAAAAAATAAATCAAAAATACCTTTGAAAAATGTTCACACAAGCCCTCCATAATAAGTTATGAGAATTATATATTTAGTGCTGAATAATATTGTCACTCAAAAATCACACCAAGAATATAATGTAACATACAGGTAAGTATAGCTTATTTATATAATACATCAATGTAATACATAATATATATATATCGTTGCCAATAAGGACCAGTGTTTACTATTCTATTGCAGCGCCCATTTCCCACTCAATAATATAGTCATATCGTGCGTATTTGGTAATCTCAATAAAATTATTAGAATATTATTTTGAAAATTTAATTTTTACCCTCTCTGTTATTGGCAAATAGGTATCTACGAAACACAGCTCAGTGTTTATTATGATTTACAGAGGTATTTTATATTATATAACTACGGTGTAAGTATAAAATGTATATATATATATATATATATATGATCACCATATCATCGTTTCTTTCAGCATGCAATCGATAGACTCGGTAAATAATCGCACTGCGCGCCAAACAAACCCTTTCCCAAAATTCAGACGTGATCCTCCCCGTCTGTGCAAAGCTCGAGCTGCACGCACCTCCGACAGTGTATATTATATGCACATTATACGTACCTACCACTTGTACCGGAGTTCATTAAACGCGTTGCCGAGAAACACACATCATATATGATATATATAAATTGTATATAGGTATAAGGTATATATATATATATGTGTGTGTGTGCTGTATACAAATAACCGTTTGTTTTCACAACCAGCTAAATTTTCTCATTGTCGTCGAAAAGTGAAAGGAAAATTATTATTCCGGTGTTTCGAAATGACATAAAAATATATTTTTATACGTTCATAATATAATTATAATAACGCGCGAACACTTTTCCGACCGTTAAATGAGTTGATTAGTTTTTCTGTATCGAAATGCAATTATCTAATCCGCTTCACCCAGGTATGCCTACTACGAAACTAAACACTTGTATTATATAATATATTATAAATATTATAATATTCAAAAAAAAGTAATTTATATAAGTAATATAATATGGTACACATATTTTAATACAACATTTATGGGTACAACGATCGCGATGTATAAATATCGTGTTTTTATAATAATTCCGTAATTGACTATTGTATTGCCAAAATGAATTAAAAATATCGATTTCCACCGTACCTGTTATATTACAGTCAAGATGGTTTTATTACTTTTTTGAAAGACCATGGAGAACGAAAAAAAATTATTTATGATAGAGGTCATTACTTTTAAACCATAATTATGAGTATGTTAGGTTTCTTTACTAATAATAATTTAACTACGCTCAATTTTTTACGTGTCCTAAATTTTTTAATTGACAGGACAAACCTATAAAAACAAGATACATTTCTCAAACCTTTTGGCAACAGCCCAAATTAAGATTATTTTTTTTTTGCTTATAAGTATTTTTGATTTTCTAACAATAATTATTATCTTTCTCTTATATTATTTAAAATTTAAATTTTAAATGCATTGTGTTATAACGTTACAACTAATACAATACTAAACCTAAACTGTTATCAATATATACATACCAAATGCAACAAATGTGGCTTGATTAACGTTTAAATTGGGAAAATGTGTGTACCTAACATGAATGTATTAATTTCGCTGTTAATTAAGAGAAACACAAATTTTAATACGACATTAAAAAATGAATAAGATATAAATTGTCTGCCACTTAGGTTGCCAAGTAGAAATTATTGTCTATATGACACCCACTCAATCTAAAAAATACACTTGTTAATTAATCTGCTTATTTCTTTGTAAAACCTTAATGAGATCGTTGTGGTTCAAATTTTTTTATGATAAGTTTAAGATTATGTACTTCTTAATAAATGCGATTTGAAATCACATTTTAAATATTTAAGTATCATAAATTAATATCTCGTTGTTAAGTAAAACATAATAATAGAATTTCTTTATACCTAGCTATATAAATTAAAATTAGATGCTATACAAGAATATTACAAACAGTTTCTTACACAAAATAGAAATTCGCAGAGTTCATTAACTGTTGGTTTATAATACCGATATAGTTTTTAAATTATTTTTTAGACATGTTTTTCAATTACAGTGTAAAGAAGGTTGTACAACTATATATGTTACTTTTTGAAGAGTTTTTACAAACGTTTAAATTATTTTCTGAACTGTAAAACTAATTTTTTACTTTGTGAAAAATGTATATAAAAACATTACAAAACATTCCCTTTTCCCTTATGTAAGAATACCATAAATAAAGCAATCGACTATCTAGTATTTTATTACTATACTACTATTATAGCTTTAATTTCTTAATTGTATGTAAATATACTAAATAGTTTGTAATGTTATAAGTTACAACGTTCAAACAATTATGTATTAGGATAATATTATGTTTGGTTGTATAAAAAAACTACCTTTTTATTGATCATTAACTTATTATATTTTAATTGTGGTTCTATTTTATCATACATCCGGGCTACTGCATACCTTTATACTCATATATTATACTATACATATACTATACTATAATATATAACCAAGCAATCTGTATAAAAATAATAATAATAATCTAGTCATATTTATTTCAATGGATAAAATAAGAATATTTAAACTCGTCAACATAATTGAAAATTATAGGTAAAATCAATGTTAAGTATAAAATAAATAGCTTTTTCCAGGAGATTGATATTAAAAAGAAATATTTTAAGCTACATTTTTGAGCTAACAATGAATAGAAATCTGAGAAAGCATGTATAATAATCGAATATTAATATAATTTTAGTACAAATACCAATTTAAACATTGCTCATTTATCGATTGTAAAAAAATACAAGTTTATAGTATAGGTACCCATATAGCTGTTAATTTTATTTTTTATGTAGTACGCATAACATACTAACGTTGGAATGTTAAATAGTAACATATTATAATACACCGACATTATATAGACATAGTGATAATGGTAACAACTAACAGATAACATTCCCGAAAGACATTTTTCCAAATAATAAAATAACAATATAAAAGAATACCACCCAGTGTATTATGTGTAAACAGCTAATATTTAAAGACCTTATAGAATGTATGATGTATTTCATCAAGTTTATTAATTTTGCATAGTATTTAGTATAGTTTATAATAAAATTGTTTTAAAAATGAATAATTTGCAAAGCATTTCAATTTTAAAAAATGTTTGATTATTGGCAGAAACATATACATAAGGTCCAGTGACCTCCAGTAATAATGTAATATCAATCATACTTCACCAACATCGGTAAATCTTAGATATAAAATAATTACAAAAACATATTTTTACATTTAAATAGGTTGTTTTTGACCAGGTTCGATTCACTTATTACCTATCAGAGGTAAAAATTGGCAAAGTGGTAGTTTTTTTTTAAAAAAGTTTACCTTATAACATACATATAGTGGATTGGTGACCATCATGCCCATTAATACGTTACTCACCAGCCACCACACGATTTTGCTACTGCAACCAAAAGTGAGTATGGTATATAATATATATAATAATAATATTTAGACAACGATATCAAACAGGTCGTACAAGAGTGATAATATACTTAGTATAATATTATAAATTATTAACACGCTATTGGTTGTTATTTTAGGTATCTATGTATACTATTGCGTATAAAATGTATTTATATATACGACGAACAATACTAACTGGGCACTGAGAACCCCTGAACTGAATACTCTATAATACTACCACCTATTCGTGTACACTATAATAATTATATTGGCTATACGACAACGATGACACGAGATTGTACTCTACTGCGGTGTGCATAAATCGGTTGTACAGAGTGAACGAAACTGTGCGCACGTGGTATACACGTCTGTATATAATATTGCCGCAGCCGTTAAAATAATATCATTATTTGAGTCCCTACACCCGCTCAAGCGTATTTGAATCACCCGCTACCTGGTGGGCGGGTGGTGGGTTGGGGCGCGCGTTAGTTGGTCCGAGTAATTTTTACTCGTATTTTTTCTTAATCAGAAAATTTGAAGGTGGCTTTCCGATCCGCGATGACTGCGACGTTTAATACTCTACTGTCTGAAATCTGTATAAAATGTAGAAAAAAGTATATTTTTTATATTTCATTTATACGTATAGGTACACATATGACTGCAGGGGTAGCCAACGTGCGATCGATCTATATGATAGCGATTTCCCCGATGCGTTTCTCCTCCCAGACAACGATGATTTTTATGACATAATAGCATTGATGACTTTTTAAACGATCATAAAACATAAATTAGCAATAATTATTGTTTAAGTGCGGGCCCACTGACAGGGGATCCTGTCCAACCAACCTTGGAAGCGTATAGTTGGTGATCGGGGCCCAGGGAATATTGGCTTCGTTATTTCCACTCAGGCACCACTTTGTCTACAGTCTACTGTCCATCCAGTTATTCAATTATAATTTGTATTATATTATCGAGCCAAGCTCGATATTAGTCAGTCGGCGGTGGAGTGCTCGGACGAGTATATACAATTATTATATTTTACGCAAGCATCAGGCTGTACCTATGTAACTGTATATAGGTACTCAGAGACGAAATGCAATAATGCATAATGTAGTGTTATTAAATTCACCTCTAAAATATATAGATATTTGCTTTACAGTTTTTAAAGGAGGGTCATGGTTTCCGAATCATCTGAATCGAGGGCTTGAGTATTTCTTAAGCCTCCCATAATTCACCCGCCGTAATTACGCGCCATCCGTGCATCCATTAAAGAGAAAATAGGACAAAGTTCTAGCGGTCTATTATAATAATATAATATAACCTGAACCCGAAACGAATCCTGTACGGACACGAACACTTATAAAAATACATAATATGCCCTCGATCGTTAGTGTAGATTGCCCGTTTTTTGTTTTGTTTTCGATTTGAATTATGTAGGTAGCTACATTCGTAAAACAAAAACATGTAATTTTGGCAGTTGTTATCGGTTTGTACGTATACGAGCAAAGAGTTATCCTCCGTAACGAGTACAAACATTTAAGCGTTAGTTGGTTTATAAAAAAACACACAAAAAAAAAAAAAACTGGATTACTCTGTATTATTATTATTACCATTATAACGCAAAATGATTAACACCTCTTCACGCGCGTGCAGTGCATACAAGTGCGTAGATGTATAATAATATTATGTAATATTACGTTTTCGAACGGTGCGATAAACATCTCCGGAGAAACGGTTTTACCCGCTTTTTAAAGTTCGTTACACTCCGCCCGAATAATAATATACATACATACTGTATAATACGCCGTTGTTGTTTTAATTTATAAATATATAATATGTTAATTACGAGAGTAATCCCGAACAGTTACCGGATTATATAGTGCAATATAGGTGGTATATATCCGTGACGACGAGTGTAAACATACGCAGGCACACATGTATCACACACTAACATAAGTAATATATATACTTATATGTTATATGTATATATTAAATAAATTTACTATGTACAAAAGAAATCCAACGATGTACGCAGTTGCGTGCCGCTACATCGGTTCGAAGTATTTTAATTTACAACCGAAATCGTTCTACCCCATTCCTATCTATATATATATATATATATATATATATGTGTATGTAAATCATAGCTATATAGGTATATATATATATATATATCGCGATAAATTTCAGCAGAAGGTAGGTTAGGTATACCTATACATAATATTATATTATACACAAGATTATTATATTATGTTGTATCAAAGGAAGCAATGTATTAGGTACATGCACGGTTATGGCATAATGTATATTCAACTAAGTATATAATATATAATATATTATTATAGTGTGCGTCCGAGTGGAAAATGCAATACAAACAAATAACCTCCCCCCGCTGCCATCAACACCCGAGTTATTGTAAAACAGTTTATAATTAATTTCATTCACGTTATTATAATACGAATTATCAATATTATTATAGTGCGGTGAAATTTAATACGTTCACGAAAATATAATTATAATTATTACAACGTACAAGTATAATGTATTGATGTTATATATTTTGTATTAGGTATGTGTGTAATTGGGTAGAAACACTAGAAACACGTTTAGGCCACCACATTTAACGCACGCTGTCCGTGTAATATTATTATTGGGACTGAGGACTTGAGCTTTTTTTTATATTGTTGTCTCGAAAGGTCTCAGAACAATGATGTGTCAAATGAGTGGACAATCTATATAAAAACATTTGGTTAGGTTTAATAATAGATATAAATAATAATTTCACTATTGCGACGTGATATTTTGTTCAAACCGCCGATAAACCACCAGACCCGGGCACCATGCCATCGATAATAGGTGTTATTACACACCACACGTGTATTATGGGAATTGAAATTTAATTGTCCGTATAGACCATAATATATACTTATAGTAAAATGGTTGTGGTTGTCCGTCATAATTTGCTATGATATAGAGATTATCGTGCTGTTTCCGCACGAAATGCTTTCGTTACATGTATTTCGATAACCTACGATCTAGATGACGAAGAAAAAATTAATGTTTATCAAATTTATATTCCATAATCACTATTTCAAAATATCATTTTTTTGAAAATATTTTATTTAAAATTATAAACTTTGAATCCGTTTTTTTAGATCATATTTCTTGTTTTTTGGGCGCACAGGCGCATACAGACTTTGAGATTTGTAAGTAATTGAAGTCCTTAGATCTAATAATTGTTATACAAAATTATTAATTACTAATTACCAATGTACATAGGTATAACAATGAAATATATTTTTCGATTTATCCGTTTCGTTTTCATTCGATGCATTTATATTTTACATAGGAACTATCTAATGCTTAAAATATGAGTTACCGTAAGAAACCTTAACAAGAATAGTCCCGAAAATTGAAATACTTTTGGTTTACACATTACACGAGGGGATCAATTCAAATGGGGTTGAAATCAACCCCTTCCAAGTTCCAATATGTCCGCAAGGATAATTAAATAGGTATAAAAGGTCATTGTACAGTTAATGTTTTACACTATTGTATTTTGTTTATTGTTTAACCTTTTACGCGGGCGTGCAGTGAAAAAAATTCGCAGGAACCCTCCTCCAGGTAATAGGTACAGTACAATAATATGATAGTCACATAGACACAAATGTGCGGACAAAATATCTGAGAGATTTTCGTATATAGTTTGATTAACAGCATTTAATTTTTATTTGGATACCGTCTAGTTGTTATCAATTGTTGAAATAAATAGTACTTAGGTGTCTACTGACGATATTTCCAAAAAAAAAAAAAATTTGTTTTAATTAAACCATTTTACACACAATGATGTCTGGATATCAGTATACCACGGTTGAAACGAGAAATTAAATTCGTCTCCGTGTCCAAAATTGTAAAAGTTACGCCGGTTAAAAATTGATAGGGTGAAAAAATAATAACGGCGGCGGCGGTGGCGGCGGCGCAAGAGTCGTCGTCGGCGGCGACGGTTTCCGAAGACAGTGGCGACCGCGGCCGACGCGATTTGCGCGGGAACGCGGCGGATGGGTCGCCACGCTCACGCACACCGCCGACGTCTGTCAGTCTGGCACCACGGCGCCCCGCGTGCATGATCTCTTGACGCAGGTACAGCTCCGCACCGGTCTCGCGCTCGTCTCGTCGCTCGTTCTCACGTTCAGTCGTTGGCCGGCGTTCTGTTCGCGCGCTCACTCGTGTCCCGTCAACGCGTATATTATCTACTGTTGTCAATCCGTGTGTCGTTTGCCGTTTTCATTTTTTTGTTTCTTTAATTTTTTTAAACTGTTTTGTTTGATTTCTCAGACCGTGTCCGAAAAGAACGATATTTTTACTTAGCCGGAAGACACGCAACAGAGCAGTCGGTCGACCGCCACCGCCGCTGCAGAAACGATCAGGTAAGACGTTATTACTTATACTACTAATGCCATTATAGTGTCATTATTCGTGTAGGACAACCTGGACAAGGTGTAGGTGCAGGTGTAGGTATAATAAGTTATAATTTTAACAAAATGCGCATACGTATAATACCTACATGTATGGCAATAACAGAATAAATTCTAATTTAAAACCAATAAAAAACAATCTCTAGTAGTGGTTTTTCCTCGTACAGAAAAAAAACTCATTACTATAACCCGGGGGCTATACGTCATGCTGTGTGATTATTAATACGCGAATGTCTATGTTATACGTCTCATTTGCGGTGGTAATCACGTGAAATAAAAGTAGGTTCTTAATAATTAAAATCACATTGTTTCCCGAGACGCATCATACGCGTAATAATATTTAAAGCATTTTTTTTAATTCTTCGTCGTCTCGAAAAAATAATAAAAACGATAAATGTTAGTGATGAGTTTTTTCAGAATACATCTGGGCGACAAAAGGAGCCACTCTTGAGCACTGTTTTTGATCTTGCCCAGTTCTCTCATCAAACCTTATGATTTAATTTCTTTAGCGAAGATTGTGGTATTTTAATTATATTCGTATTTATCGTTCTACACTTATCCTGCACATATGTGTAGTGTGGAACTCTCATTGACACTTATTAATTTTGTATTATGTACCTTGCCGCCTCGGTACCAATAGATACGTAAAAGTGGCTAATAAGTACGGTTCTAACTTTTTAAGAATTAAACACTGTCTTGTAACATTTTATTAGACGTTATCGTCTATGCGTTACCATCGTTGCTTGAAATTTTGTTTCGAAACGAAAAGTACGTGATAATAGTTTTTTAACGACTCGTTAATTTAAACGGCTAACTCTGGGAACAGGTTTTTTCCTATTACGTTTTATGAATTTACGATGTATTATACATTTATACTCACCGATGATCTGTTCCGAAATAATTTAATAGGTATAATAAATATTAATAGTCAACGTAATATAATATGCGCCTAATATCAATATAATAATATTATGCTCGTCACCCAATGTTGTCTACAAATACGGTACCGAATATTTTGTAATTTATTACGACGTCAAATTGTGTATAGCCACTATAATAGTATAGTTACCCCAAGCTACTAAGGTTTTTTAATTTTCTCCGGAAAAAAGTGCAATATCTAAAGATACTTATGATATAGTTAAAAATTGAATGTCATTAATCATCTATCGACACGCGTGGTTAAGAACTATTGTTTTAAAATCGAGTACTGGTAAGTACGTCATACATCCGTTATTATCACGTGGTCGAATACGAACAGCGACGGTGGTTCTTACTTAACCTAACCTAACCTAACCTAACCTATACATCCCTTCGTTAGTTATTTGTTTCTCATTTCTTCCGACAAATGACAATCGATGTCGTATATTATGCATAATATAGCATATTCAAGTAATTGAATTAGTCACATCAAAAGATTAATGTGAAAAAAATGTATTAGGTACCTAAGCATAGCTATACATCATACTTGGTTGTAAGTTTTGGCTAACACGTATGTAGATGGAACGGGTAAAATTCGATAGAGCACATGACTATATGCAACAGCAAATCATAACTACTATCATTATTATTATTATTATTATTATTATTATAGTGTTGTGTATAAACGCGTGGGTCGAATCCAATGTTATTCGTGTAGTATTATGCGAGGATCGTCGGACATCTGTTGTATCGGAGGGGGTGAAAAAGGGAATAAGAGAGATATAAAGTAGCGAACAAGTGAAAATCAGTGTCACGCAGTCAGAGGAGAAAATTTGTTTTCTTATTTTCATTTTCGTGTACATCCTCTCCCGGTCCGACGTTTATCGGTGGACTCCAGATGGTGGCGGTGGCGACGGCGTGTCTCAGCGGAAGAACGGTCTTTTGTAAAAATGTACAAAACGGTTACTATTACTATTATTATTTTTATTATTACCGACGCACCCGAAATCTGCGGCTCCTGTTTACGCGCGTATAGTGCAGGTCTCTCTCGGATAGTCGGTTGCCGTATTATATTATAATATATTATGTAGTTCGTCTCGCGATTAAAGAACGAAAATCGTTTCCCCCTTTTTTGAATGCGCGTTCGTTATCCCTCGCGCGCGAACGGATATAATAATATAATATAATATCACACGCACACGCGCACAAAAGGGCCCTAATTACGGGATCGAGCCGCTCTGCAGCATATTATAGTGTGTCGATCGAAAAAGGACACCACCACCTTACGCCTCTAAACTCGCACCATATAAAATAATAATAGTAATAGTAATAATAACGAGTTCCGCAATATTACGCGTATCGTGTGCGTGCGTGTGTATGGAAATCAAAGAGCCATTGTGCGAATGAGCTCGAGGATCGCGGTCGCCGGTATATATAGGTACGCGCGCGATCGGGATCGGTCTCGCGGGGCCGGTGTGACGAGCGTCGGCGTCGATTTTGGGGGGAGGGCTGCGATGTTGGGGGGGGGGGCGCAGGGAGAGGAGTGAGAAATTTTAATAACCGCCGCCGAAACAGCGGTGGGTCGTCGGCGTGTAGCCACGGCGGGGGTGGGCCTACGGTTGCGGGGGAGGTGGGGACGGTCGGTCGGTGCGAAAACGCAATTACACGGATTGTGTGCGTGAGCGCAGGCCGATGCGAGTGCGTCCGCGGCGCGCGTATAATTACGAAATACCGGGAATTAATTAAACACATTGTTGGTGCCCGCCGGTTAGACAATCGGTATAAATTACCCCCGCGCGCAAAACAATTAACCGGCGAAACTCGCGAGTACTCGACGCGCCGCGGTAGTGGCGTCGTCGTCGTCCGATACCGGCCCGGTGGCGGTCGAGTTCGATTCCGCCGGTCGGCGATTTGTATTCGGCCGTCTATGGTCACGCGGGTGAGACGACATCGTGATGTCATAATTCATTTGATAACACCTCTGAAGCAGCGTCGCCGCGGTGTCTCTATACCCGTGTCACGGTAGAGCTCGTCGCATATTACTATAATTGTACGCGGCAGAAGTATCGTGATAATAATACGACGGCTAAATAATCGGCAGTCTTTGAGGTCTGTTCTACGATATATTCGAGAAACGGAGACGAGGAAAATATTATCAAACCTGTAATAATAAAATTATGGTTTTCCCTATTTGTTAGGTACGTTATTGCGTTTTAATTTATGTACCGTCTACTTGTTTTCTTATACCTCGCGGCCTCGCGCACGTTATTGTTTACTGATTCGTGTATTTTCAACCGCAGCGGTGTTTAAGCTCTCTTCGTCTGACAATCGGTGTCCGTCGAATTATCGTAAATGCACGGTGCCGAGGAAGTTGTGAGTAGGTAACACTCAAACTCGCATGTCGTCGATGAAAGTGAATTAATTATAATCGAATAAAAGCCATCCCGTTAACATTTTTGAACGATTGAAAGAATTGTGTTCAAATATTCAATTATAATAATCGATTAGCCGCGATGAAAAATATATAATTCAATTTGTAATTGTTCTTTTACATTAGATGAAAATTGGTATAAACAAATTTATAATTATTCGATTAATTTGCGCATATCGATTTCATTGTTGTTGGCGAAACATATATAATTAATAAAAATCGTAATAATGGGATAAACAATAAACGAACGGCTGAATACACAAAAAAAATAAAACAGTATTATAACGTCTATTATTATCTTATATAAATGTTCTATGCAGTATGGATACGCCTGTAGTGTTGTACCTAATTACATTTTTACACACGACTCTAAGTGCCTATAGGTATGGCATGCCATACCAAAATCTATATATAAAAAAAACAATTAAGTAAACGTCGCTGACGATTTTCCTTTGAAAAATTTAACATGATATTTTCAGTTGATTTCGGTTTTATGGTATGATACATGTACACCGATGTACACCTATATTTGAACCCGTAAATTCAAATACACGGCGACGAATACTCTTCACTTTACTGTTTTAATCTTATTTTTATAACGTAATCGAGCGATAGTCTCCCCAAAAGTCGAAATCCTTTGAGGACATTTTTGGATTTTCGATTTTATTAGTGGTGATTTTATGTACTGTGTGGCTGACCGAGGGAATGTGAAGTTGTGTCATGGGTTTCCACCTTATACTATACAAAAAAGCGTTCTTCGCACCCCTCTTTCTATTTTGGACTGTCTGTAGTTGTTTTTAATCCGGTAAATAAACCCTTACCCGACCTTTCCACCCTACAGTTTTAGGAACCTCATTAGCTAAAGGTATTTTCTCCCTTTTCTTCCGATTCCCAGCCCGGAAAGCGAAGTTACTTAGTTTATTTAGCTAGAAGAACCCAATTAAATATAACAACTACAGAAGTTACCCGGGCGACGTTGACGGCTGAACGAGGCGGAGGGACTCGTGATGCGGTAGGAAGGTGGGTCTGATTTAATTAGAATGTAAATTACCTCTCTCTGTGTCGACGAGCTTATATGTGTATACAGGGCGGTTCGTTTAAGATTTTGGCCCAGTTTCGTTACTTGTTTTTCATCAAGTAGTATTTAAAGATTTATATATTTGAGAGCAATTTATTTACATTCAATTTTTAAAATGTATACAATTAGCATATAATATAGATTTTGGAACATTTTTTTTTTAAAATTCATATTGCTGAGAATCGGTAGAAATCGTTTTAAAATATATTCTAAGTACTTATGATTTTTAAAATTATACTATAATGTCGTGACTTACCTGATGGTTTTGTCTTTGTTTTACAAAGTTACTGGTACGATATAGTAAAATATTTATTCGGCAGTATAATATTTCCTTTGGGGCTTTAGATGATTGGCTAAAATGTGTTATACATTTATTCATCAATAATTAAATATAAGTTTATTTTAAAAAATCGTCCTGTACGTTTATCTATTGTTGTTCGCGACGTGTAAAGAGAACGAGAGTTGTCTGCAGGAGGCCGAAGTGACTTTTTATCTTTACAACTTTTAATTATGTCGGGCATTACT